CAGGTTGTCACATCACACAGCTCTTTGAAGGACCAGACAAAACCCTAAAAAAATAAATGGTGATAGCTTAGAACTAAAAAGCGTCCACACAAAGCATGTACACGACACACGCACATGACTTTGACATAAGCCCAGAGATGTAGTGACAGCCACTGAATTGGAACTGGGTTCAGCAATTACAGCTCCTTTTTGTACCCCAGCTTCCCTCCACTGACACATAAATTAGATACTTGACATCTGCATCAGTTTCTAATGAGAGCGGAGCCACGTGATTTTGGAGAGGGATGGAGAGGTGCTGTTCGTGGTTTGGAGAGCTGCAGAGTCAGACAGTCACATTACATTTTGGTTTTAGTTTGATTATTCTTTTGCTGCTGTTGAACATATGGCCTTGCAGTGTTTGTCATCTTTTCATGCTCTTGTGTTTGCCTTTGTTCTGCCATATTTACATCCAATTACCCACATTCTGGATTTACTGATCCTTTCCTCTGCAGCACAAGGAGCACAATAAGAAAACAAATCTGAGACAAAGCTTAAGCTTAGGAAAGATTAAAGCAAAGAGCCATCCAAGTGAAATCAATTTCAAGCTTATCTTAAATCGAAAGGTTAATGCCTCACCTGGCGATTCTTCTGCTGTGGCTAAATTGTATAGGCTGGCAACTTTACTGACTGCAGACAAGCAAAAAAGAAAGTAGGTTTTTCCGCAGATTTCAGCAGCACATGTATTATAGCCACAAGACCCTCAGTCATTTATACCGCACTGTCAGCGACCTGCCCAGCTACGTCTTAGATACGATAAAGGTGTGCATGTGTGTGTCTGTGTCCCTTCAGAGGTACACCTCTACAGAGATGGCACCACTGCATACAGGTCTTTCCTTCAGAAATCCTGCTGTTAAGGTTTCCAGGTGTGATCGTGAAGTGTGACCAAAGTGATCAAACTGGACGGCTGGAGGCAGAGAAGAGAGGGGGAAGGGTATGAAGGAGGATGACAGACCTCAGAGAGGTCGGTCATAAATGAGAAACACTGGACTTTTGCAGTCTGTCAGACGGACAGAGGAGGTGACATTAGAAACTGTTTCATGCTGTAGTGGTCAGAGATCGAATAAACATTAATTCTTCACTACACACACACACACACACACGCACGCACACACGCACATATTGTGTTGAAATCTTGTTGGTAGGACTATGTGTGTGTGAGTGGCAGGGTGAGTGTCAGCAGTTTGATCTGTTTCCTGTAGTTGGTCGTTGCCCTCCATCTCCCCCATTATCCTCCACAAGGCATTCCTTCAGGATTTATACCTGCCATTTCTGCTCTGCGGTCGATATTTATGAACTACATTACT